TATACTAGTTTTTCTATATAAAAGATTACTGATTCACCGTGATTTATCTCTCCACATTCATATTAGGTCAGAGTGTGAGGATCTTTAAAGCGAGAGATTTTGCCTTTAAAAAAATGAGTAAATACTCAAAATAGTTCCTCAACTATAGCTAAATTCACAAATTGGTCTTCAACTTTCAATTTTAACCAATTAAGTCCTTAACTTTGCAATTTTAACACGATTTGGTCTTTCGAACACTTCTGCAATAACGCCCGCGCCTGCGCCGTCATTGACAATCTCCAGAAGAACCTGCAGCTCTCATCGGAGCACATGGAGGCCTCCAGGATGACGCTGCACCGGTTCGGAAACATGTTGTCTTCTTCACTCTGGTACGAACTCAACTACATTGAATCCAAAGGGAGGATGAAGAAAGGCGACAGGATTTGGCAGATTGCTTTCGGTGGTGGATCCAAATGTAACAGTGCGGTCTGAAAATACAACCGGAACCTTAAAAAATCGACGATGGACCATGAAATTACATATATATCCTCAAAAATCACAGTCAACAAACGGTCAAATAGACGGAGGACCAAATCGTGTTAAAATTGCAAAGTTAAGGACTTAATTGGTTAAAATTGAAATTCAAGAATCAATTTGTGAATTTAGCTATAGTCGAGGGACCATTTTGAGTATTTACTCTAAAAAAATCAAGAGAGGAATTTATACTTGAATATTATCATGGGAAAATGGCACTTTTACTCCTGAGTTATATACTTATAGCACTTTTTCCCCCTCAATTATTTAAGTAAGCACATTAGCCCCCTCAATTATTCTAAAAGTGGTGCATTTTCCCCCTAATATATTAAATTGACATTTATACCCTTAAAGTAAACATTTTATTTATTTTATTACTCCAACAAATTATTGCGTATACGTAGAGATGACCACGGTTCGGTTTGAATTGAACCGGATACTAAAGCAATCTAATTAATAGTTTACGGTTATAATTCAGATCTAGAACCCAATATTTAAATGTCAATTTATTAAAATTATGTATAAAAAAAATTGAATCTTGAACCGTGAACCGGCGGTTCCGGATCCAATAGTTATGTTGTGCAACCGAATGTACCATGCGCATGGTGCATACGGTTCAAAACGACGTCATTTTGATTAAAAACGCGCGTCCCACTTAAAAAAAAAAATCAGGTTCGACTCTCAGTAATAGCATTATTGTGGATATATAGTTATGAAATTGTGGATATATAGTTATGAAATTGTGGTTATATAGTTATGAAATTATGGATATTTAGTTCAATCATATATTGTTGATATTTACTTTCAAAAAAAATATATTGTTGATATTTAGTTCATTCATTGTGGATTTTTACTTCATTCATTCATTCATTGTGGATTTTTACTTCATTCATTCACTGTGGATATATAGTTATGAAATTATGGATATATAGTTATGAAATTGTGGTTATATAGTTATGAAATTATGGATATTTAGTTCATTCATTGTGGATATTTAGTTCAATCATATATTGTGGATATTTAGTTCATTCATTGTGGATTTTTACTTCATTCATTCATTCATTGTGGATTTTTACTTCATTCATTCATTCATTGTGGATTTTTACTTCATTCATTCACTGTGGATATATAGTTATGAAATTGTGGATATATAGTTATGAAATTGTGGATATATAAAAATGCTATTGCCGGGAATCGAACCTGATTTCTTCTTTAAGTGGGACGCGCGTTTTTTTAACCAAAACGGCGCCGTTTTGCAACCGTATGCACCTTGCAAGGTGCATTCGGTTGCACAGCATAATTTGCGTTCCGGATCTGATTCGCGATTTTGAACCGTCTTTATTTTAAAATTTTATTTTTTATTTTAAAATAGTCTAAATTCAACAATAAATGTATTTTATTTTTTCAGTCCGGAACATGAACCGTCCGTTCCGGTTCACGATTTTAATAAACTCTAAATATCGAATTTCAATTCTAAATTGTAATTGGAATATTTTGGTTTGGTTGTTATAGTGTTTGTTTAGTTTGAACCAAATTATGGTCATAATTTGTTGAAAAAAAATAAATTAAATATTTAGCTTAAGGGTAAATATGCCCATTTAACATTTCAGAGGAAAAACAGCCACTTCAATAATTTAAGGGGAAAAAATGCTATAGGTATATAACTCAGCGGAAAAAAGTGTCATTTTCCCTATTATATCATTAATGCGATTCATGAGTTTGTAAGGAGGGATTGAAATTAGCACTTGTAACATATTCATTGAAAATTAAATTTTTGTGCGGACTAGATAACGCGCTAGATAAGATTAAGGCCTCATTTAATAACATAATTAGTTTATCAGTCAATTTTAACTTATTTAACTACTATTATTAGTCGTTCGACTTGATTAATTAAACAATCAATAGGAGTGTTTGATTAATTAGTTTTTTGTAACAACTTATTGCTCTAAAATGTTAAACTTCAAAAAACTGTTCAAAACAACTTTTTCGATAAGTTTTTTGAGAAAGTCATTTTGCATTGTAATCAACTATATATAAGCTATCAATTAATTTACTAAACACTTTTCTACAATCAACTAATGCTATCAACTAATCAAACCTTCTAACCCAATCAACTAACAACTATTTACCAAACACCCTAAATCGCGCTTTATATCAGCTGATTGCTCGAGGGTTAATTGCTTGCGTATGATCCAAGAAGACAGCCTATCTCTATAATTCTATCATCTTTTCCACTTCATGCCCCATATGCCTTTTGTTTAATTGTTCCTAACCTATACATTATAACCATTATTAATTTCTATTTGACATAATTAATATTATCTTCACATCATTTCCCTATCAACTCGACGGATAAATCATCAACATGTTAATTTAATAATCTTATCTTAGCAACACACTTTTTCGCATTAGTTGAGTATATAAATAGGAAAAAATTAAAATAGAGAATAAAAAAAATGAGAAATCACTTGAAAATTCAAAATCAAATTGGTGTAGCAGGATAGACAGAGGTGCATGACTGCATGACATAGACTGAACATACTTTAGTCACTCTTCGATTAAACAATATATTTCTTTTTTGTTATATATTACTAGTAAATTGGGATGATTGACCCATATTGAGTTAATAAGAAATATATGTATTTAGTAACATGTTTTAAAATGGGGTGTCTAGTATGATTCATATGAAAAAAAAAAAAAAAAAAAAAAAAAAAAAAACTGTGGACCATTTTTATCCCCACCAATCAAGACATGCATAACCAACCTGGGTAACCCAATTTTGGTAACAAAATAAAATATGGAATGCAACACCATGCATATGATTGATTATTATACATTAAGGACTTAAGGTAAGATGTTTTGTCACACCTCTATACACAACCCAAAAGCCACCTTAATCTATAACTCTACAAGTTGTCTACAATCAATCTCTACTAACTAGTGTTTGTCCGCCGACACTTTAAACTCTTCTAAACACATCATTGTATGTTTGTATGTACGAGGGCATATACGTTCTACAGAGTATTATTTTTAATGTATATATTCTTTTAAAATAATATACATGATTCAAACTTTTTATTGAATAAGAGTACGATTTTACGGGTTTCATATGCGCATAATAAGAATTAGTTTTATAGTGATGAAAATATGTGAAATATGATTCTCATATTTGATATCACGAGTTCAATTCTTGTCAATATCCTTTCTTTTGAGCTCGTCTACAAGGTATTTCTAATTTGATTTACGAGCTTTATGCAGTATTATAGTTTATCTAATACATATTTTTAAATAGTGAATACAGATTTTTCTCGTTGCTAAAACGATACATGAAGAGTCGTTGTTGGCCAACTTGCATTGCCATGCAAATCTGAGAGAGTAATTAAGAAAAATAATAATTTAGTAGGCTAATAATTCACTCTTAATTGCATGTTTTGACATAATCCCTTAATAAATTTATCCCGACCGTTCCAGTTCCCGTGGGAAAGGAATCTAGATTATTATATATACCATGGACGACGTCGTACGATTTATTATGCACAAGATCTCGAGAGGATAAAGCACTGGTTTTCTTACCAAAGTCAAAGGAATTACGTACCACTCCAAACCCTTATCTGAATCAACCTATTTTAGTGGTTTCAAACTTTCAATGGTACTAGATCGCTAAGTATTTCAACCAATTACCTTTTACATAAAGTCAAAGATTTATATCGCTTAATGATAATGTTTTCAAGATTTATATCGCTTAATGATAATGTTTTCAAGATTTAATTTAATGACATAATTAATTACACTCTAAACGTGAAGATCAAAGCACCTTAAATCAAGCCCTCGTCTCACTTTACTTGATTACTTTATTATGCGATTTATAGTATTACTTGTGTGACAAAGTCATCAAATTGTGAAAAGGTAAATAATAATGATTCAAAATTAACTGAGGCTATACTTCTGTTCACTTTCTTCTGTTCATTGTACACCAAGAGTCCCTCATTATTTAAAAGGTAACTCACGTACTACCGCTTGTGAAATTCAATTATTAGTTATTTATGACAAATTTTATTTGTGACCAGTTGAGATGCAAATGCAAGCACTTTATAGTATTACTAGATGTACGTTTGCATTTACGGGCAAAAAGGAGGATTATATTCTCACCAATATTAACCTCATATATGTGAGTGTCCGTGCACACACTGTTGGAAATTATTCCGACCACATGAAAGTGAAATAATAACAAAGATTTTTCCGGATACCAAAACATCTCTCATAAACGGTCAAAAGTCAAACTTAAAACATTGTAGTTAATATTTAATTTTTTCATATTTATTTTTTTGAGAGAAAACTTTTCATATTTATTTTTTTGAGAGAAAACTTTTCATATTTATAAATGGCTCTTTATATGATTAATAAAGTTACTATTAATTAAATAAAATAACATGTTAGTATCTACTGTTATCCAAAACATGCGGCCATGTGGGTAAAAAAAAGTAAAATTCTGGGTAGAGATTTTCATAAAAATACTAAGTATACATCCGATGAAAAAAAATAATAATAAGAAATTAATCAAAACAAGTTGAGTAGCTTAGGTTCTACTCCTCCTTGATCTCCAATCCCAAACCCACCTTCGAAGCAAGTAATCGATTCCTCGGAGTTCATCGACAGTGTCCGCGGCGGCCACCGTTGTTTCCCCGGCAACGGTGTATTGCCCGTCATCGGAATACTAGCCTGAAAGCCAGGCGTTAGGCTGAGATCAAGATCGCCCACCTTTAATCCTCTTGAAGATCCGTCCGGCAAAGTTGACCGTTTCTGCACCGTGGATCGCCGGATGATGGAGGGAGGATCTTGGAGCTTGAACATGTCGTCAGTGCAGTCGGAACCGCCGAGAAACTCCGGGATCGGCCGTAATTCTCCGCCGCGGAGCACCGTTTCCACGGCAGCCTGACAAACGTGCCAGTTCCCACTCCCTAGCAGCCCCACCGCCCCGTTCACCGGATTCACCGTCCTCCCGGCGGCCTCATACAACAACGACTGAAACAGCGCTGCCGATTCATCAAACCTACATTAGATTTACCATTCAAGAAACCGAATAAAGAAAACAGCAACTTTAACTAATCATCATCATTCTATATATAACACTACTGAAAATTATGAAATTTTCGACCACCCAAAAGTGATCTTAAATCAAGTTGAAAATCGATCACTTTTGGTATCCGGAAAAACCTTTGTTGCTATTTTCGACCATTTTTTAGTAGATAACTTTCAGGTGATCGGAAATTTCATAATTTTCAGTAGTATAATAAGCTGAAATTAATGAAACTTACAAGGCCTTTGGTTCTCCGGGACGGCGGAGATGAAGGACAAGAGGCCGGCCCGGCCAAAGAACTTGGCTACAAAGATGGTGGCGTTGCCCTGAGCGTCGGCGCTCTGTATCCAGTGTAAGCAGGGCCTGAGAATACAGGTGTCGCTGCATCCTTTTCTAAGAACTCGACACCCATTGCAACTCATTATAATTATATATATATATTTCTTCGATCTGCAGATTGATCCTTCTGGTGGAGTAAGTGTAAGGACTATATATGTGTGTGAGGAATATATGTTACCCGATAATGAAGAAAGATGAAGAGGAAAAGATCGATGACCGACAAGAAACCACTAATCTTCAGCTCTAAGAAACAGAAACTGTACTTAGGAATAATAGTAAAAAAAAAAAAAAGAAAGAGATAAGTTTTGAGAGAATAACGAGGGTTGTTTATAACGAGAGGTTAGGAGTTATTATTATGCATGAGTTAAAATAAAAATAAAAATATTTTGCTACAAATGAGATGATACAAGTTTCTTTTAATTTTAAAGGTAAATGAGATGATACGAATTTCTTTTAATTTTATTACCTTTAAAATTTTACTTGACATGAATATAATTAATCATGTTACATGGTTCCATTAAACTTGTATTCTCACTAATTAAAAACTTGAGATTAGATTGTTTGAGCTTGAAGTCAACAGAGTGTAGAGATTAAAATACGTCATGCCCCTTCATAGGGGTTTATACGGCCTGGCTTTGGTTGTGCCTAGCATGGCTTGGTCTATTTAGTAAGGAGCGTTATGCTATGCAACTGTGTGGTGCACACAGTTACAAAAACGACATCGTGTTGACGTTCGCCTTTAAAAAAAAAAAAAAATTAGTTTCGATTGTTGTTAATGGCTTTATGTTGTGCATAATTTGAACTATATATTAGGTATTTATTACATTTTTACATTTATACCTAATATATTTTTATATTTTCAATATAACCCCAAATATATATATCAATTACCAAACCCTAACCCCTCAAAATCCCCAATTTTAAATACTAATTCTGTAAATTTATCTCTCTGGTCTCACTTTCTCCCCTACGACCGCGAAGCAGCGATTCTTGACCGTTGTCCAGGTAAATTCGTAAATCTCCTTTCTCGGTCACTATTGTACTATTTTTTTCCCGAGACACAACAATTATTAAGCATACTTTTTAAAAAACAATAGCCTACATATTAAATATTCTTTTAAACATACTTCAAGACAAACCATACCAATTGTATACTCAGACTTGAGCCTAAAAAAAAACCTACATAGAGCCTCATGCCCAAGCTCATGCTTTATATTTTTATATCAAGCCCAAGTTTAATTTTCTAAAGCTCGGTTTGACATATTTTTTTCCCTAACGGATAGCTATGTAGGCATCAATAGCTTCGAACAAAACCCAGAATGTCCACTGCTACAAGGTTTGGCACTCCTAAATTGGGGAAGAGGGGGAGAACTTGTAAAATCACAATTTAATCTTTACTTTTGACGATCAATAAATAGATTAACTATCAAGAATTAAAATACGTAAAGATTACAAAATTGTTTACTTAAATTAATAAAAATAATAGTCTATTATCAAATTAGTAATTACAATATAGTCGAGAAATTATTTTTGATATTAATTCATTATTAATTTTTTATTTGATAGTAGAGTTGGGTAACTTAAGATAAGAGCAGTACGTGGTTGGGTAAAAATGTAAAATAGTAACGTGAGAGGGTATGCGGTTTGGATGGGATTCCATTATTCCAAAGGTTTTCTGCGAAAGCGGCTCCGTGTCTCCGCGGTTGGCCGTCCCGACAACATATAGAGTTTTTTTTTTTCGGTTTGTTGCTTTTCCTTTTTAAGGACTAGTATCTTTCCTTTTCCCATAATCCCCCTAAATGGTGTTTGGTTGGCGACTACCAAAAGTAGGAAGAAAAATGTAAATTTGTTTGCTCTTTTACTAACTTGGACTTGGATATAGAATAACATTTTCTTTAAAAAGGATGATTTTTTTATAAGATTAATTCCTATTGTGTTTTTTTAGATCATGAAGTGTCTTGAGCAGACCTATCTTAACTATAATCATGTTAGTTATTGTATTGTGTTTTTGACCCATGGTGCTAGAGACTATTTAAAAGGATTACAGGGCAATATAACTTTATCAGCTAGCGAAGAGCCTTCTTTGTTTGAGTAATTGTCAAACAATCATATCTTCATGCCTCGTGTTGTAATCGTCTATTTATACACTTTGATAACCAAGTGATGCTGACAGTAGGGAGATATTGTCCAACTATGTGTTGCATACTTGCATGCTTCACCTCTCTATCCATGGTACTGAAATTGTCGTTGAGTATAAGTGCTACATTCACTTGTCGCATATTTTTTTTTTCATTATACCATGGATCCTATAAATCCGTCACAAAGCCTACGAATGAAGTAATTCTCAAGTTGCTCAAGTGATATTGACGGCAATTTATATCCTACACCACGGCGCGCGTTGCACTGTGCGCCCAGATGCAAAACGACGTCGTTTTAACTTTTTTTTTTTTTTTTTTTTGAAATTTCCCGCCCCAGTGTATGGCAGTTAATTTTTCTTTAAAAAAAATCCATGTTCAAAAATGTACATAATGTTATACTAGAATACACATAATTGTATACATGAATGTACATAATTATATAACAAAATATACATACTCTTTTTAAAATATAATACACATAATCTAACATAATACATAATAAACATAAACTTTTAACATAATACACATCAACTCTTAACATAATACACACAAATTTTCTGATTCGGATGTACATAATTGTATAAAAAATGTACATAACTGTATGAACAAATATACATAATTGTATGAACAAATATACATAATCACAGCAACTTTCTACCGCGCCTCCCAAAACGACCCCAAAACGATGTCGTTTTGGGAGGTGCGCGGCGCATAGTGCTACGCGCGCCATGGTGTAGGGTATAACGATTGTGATATTGACCATATGAACTTGTCCAAAAGCTCATGAAAGGAGGTAAATCTCAAGTTGTTCAAGTGATTCCAAGTTCCCATGTCATTTATACACTTAACGCATAAAAGATCTTTACCACTACTGATTGGTCAAAGTCTCTCAATGACTCTCCACATTCTCAGTGAGATTCAAAGCCCTAGCTACCTTATTGCTGGAAGCAATGCAAAACTAACCAGTCCACTTGAGGTACCTGACAAATTTTTATTTTTATTTTTAAATAATTTTTAGATTGAACTCCATATTAAATTAGTTAAAACTTAATTTCAATGAACTTTCTTATTGGACTGTTTGGTTATTAAGAGCACACATTTAATTCCCTATATCACCAACAATTAATTCTTTAATATTTAATTGTACCATAATTGGTGATGTTCAATAGGATAGACTTGAGTTAGTTAATGTTATTGCTAAATTTGTAGAACGAGACAAAATTGATTATAAATTTCATAGTCCTATAGATAACCATTGATTCTAAGTATTTCAATTCGTATGAAAGAAGAGAAGTCTACCTATCATGAACCGATAAGTGTGCATCACCGTGGTTGGCTGTCTTATTAAATAGAATGTCATTTTCCGAGGGACTAATATCCCCAACTTTATACAAAAGATGTGGAAAACGCAGAGGAAAACACTGAGCTGCCCATCCACTTCGCTAAAATCGACAAAATAAAGGTGAGGTGACATGCTTTTGGTAGACCGTTCATGAATGCCAATCACATTTCGATGTATGTAACAATTGATTAGTGAATGAGAAATCTTACTAAAATACTTATTTTTAATAGGAAGGTGAAGATTCAATTCTTGTTACGGATATTGAGATTATGAATTTAAAATAGACTCCTTAAACTAGATTATATTGTAACTCAATTTATTTCGTCATGATTGATGAGTGCGGGAAAAATTCATAAGATCCATAATTATTTCGGTGTAGCTTGAAAATCTAGGTAGGTGTCTAATTTGATTCTTACTGAAAAATGTAGGAATCTGTAGACTTTGTTATGGCCACCAACATACAAACAATTAGGAAACCTGTAAATCGTTGAAATACATAAATTTAGTAATTCAAGCGAAAACGTTTTAAGAAATTTACAGTGAAAAGTAAAGTTGAGCGGGTAGTCTTGTGTGTGTACTAGTGAATTGGATGAGAAGTCTCAATCAAAACTTACTTTCTGTGGGAGGGTGAAGATTCTATTTTTGTCACGAATATTAGAAATTTGAATTTACAATAATGAGCTCCTTAAGTTCATGGGTCCAGAATATACTCTGGTATAGCCAGAAAACCTAAGTAGATTTCTTTAGAAAAAGATGTAAGAATCTTTAGACTTTAAGTTGTCATTGCTACCAATGTATACTTGTATAGACACTTTAAAAAAAAAAAATTGTAAACCGTTAATATACATCTAGTGATTTAAGTGAAAAAGTTTTGAGAAATATAAACTGAGAAGTGATGTTGAGTGGGCAGTTTTGTGTATGTGCTAAAATTTATTTCTAAGGGGACGTTTGGTTCACGGAATATTAGATTATTTTAGGGAATGTTAAATTGCTGAGAATATTAGATCTTGTGTTTGGTTTAAAACTAAGATACGTAAATAAGACAACGGTAATAAAATAAATTGATTAAAACAGCCAAAGCCCAACATTAGTAATAAGACAATGCAAGGAAATACGAGATTACTTAAGAAATTGGAGGGTATCTCAGTATCTCACATTCCTTTCCAATAGCTAAAAATTTAATGTGGAGTTTATCTGACATTCCCTCAAAAAGTTACATAACGTGAACCAAATATGAGAATCTTATATTACCAAGTAAATATAATTTTGATTATCTTATATAACCTGAACCAAATACCCCTAACAGATGACTAACACATACACCGGAGATAAGTCGACACATAATCTTACGCAGGTCCCACCAATTCTGATACGTGGGGCCCTCTGTACATGCAATATAGATAACCTTAACCAAAGATGACGACGAAAGCTAGGAATCTGGGGGTTTCATTTCTATGGAAACTATACGCAGATGGAGACTTGAGATCGAATATTCGACTTGAAGTGATGATGCATGGTCTGTACGTACATACCTGTCAAGTTGGCATTCTTATTCCTCCATAGCTATGAGAGGGTGATCTTGGCTGAAGGTAAACCCTAGCTAGCGGAGAAGCTTTTCTTTAATGGAGGTGCGGCCTGCATGCGTCACATTTCTGAAACAGTATCAGTGTATCACCATTCATGTATCTAATCATAGAATCCTTTGAAATGAAGTGCTAAAAGTGCATGTACTCTGAGTTGGGTAGGAATGTGGTCCATCCATTACTCGTAAGAATAGCTCAGCTAATTTTTAGGGTAGACTTTAATTTGGACATG